AACTATTAATATATAATAGTTTCTCAATAATACTGGATTCCACAGACCCTGACAAACAAATGGAAAAAAACAGGAGTGCCAAAGTGCTTGTTTATTTGGAAAGCACATGAATTCCAGGACCTGCGCGTCTGTATGAGGTTATATGGAAACAGTGAGTCTGAGATTACAGCTGGAGAAATAGTGCTGCTCGCACGCGCCGGCTATGTGGCACTGAAGTGCGAGGGCCGCCGGCCTCCAAACGTCTAATTGATGACAATGATACGTGAGATAATGAGAAACTCAGGCCTTCGAACTCTGGCAGGAGCGTCATGATCCGCTTTTAAAACATGTCAAAACACCGCAAGACTTTCAAGGGACTCTGCAAGATTCTTGGCAGGCCCATATAAACGCCAACGAGCGTCTCCGCCTGCAGTCAGCGAGCAGAACCGAGAGCCAAACCTTCCTCCGAGTCTAAAGTCATGAGAGGTTCGTCGTATTCACAGAAGAGCCTGAGCGTCAGCGGCTCCAGCCGGATGAGGGTCCAGAGCCCGTCTCCGTCCCGATGCCGTGGCTCCTCGTACAGCCGCGGACGGACGGGACTCCAGGGCCAGGCGGTGGAAGTGGCCACCGAGATCCACCAGCACCACGCCAACGAGAAGGAGGTGATGCAGGAGCTCAATGTGCCCGATGCCGTGGCTCCTCGTACAGCCGCAGACGGACGGTACTCCAGGGCCAGGCGGTGGAAGTGGCCACCGAGATCCACCAGCACCACGCCAACGAGAAGGAGGTGATGCAGGAGCTCAATGTGCGCTTCGCCGGATACATCGAGAAGGTCCAGGCGCTGGAGCAGAGGAACAGCGCTCTGAGAGCCGAGCTGGAGGCCCTTCAGGGACGCTTCAAGGGAGGGCCCACCGGCCTCGGGGACGAGTACGAGCTCAAGTTTAAAGAGATGAGGGAGCTCATCGAAGCTCTGACCGCTGAGAAGGGCGCGGCTGATATAGAGAGAGGCTACATCGAGGAGGAGGTGGAGGTCTGGAGACTCAAGCTGGAGGAGGAGCTGGCCATCAAAGGTGAGATATATGATACAGAAGCTCATTAACAGTTTATAGATCTATCACAGAGGCATCCAAATCTGCTCCTGAAGGGCCAGTGTCCTGCAGAGTTTAGCTCCAACACACTTGGAGGTTTCTAGTAATCCTGAAGACCTTGATTAGCTGATTCAAGTGGATTTAAATAGGGTTGGAGCTAAACTCTGGAGGAAAGTGGACCTCGAGGGCCAGAGTTCAGAAGCGATTCTCCGCGAGTTCCGTCTAGACGTGGACAGCGCGACGCTACAGAAGGCCGACCTGGAGAAGCGCATCGAGCAGCTGGTGGCCGAGATCGAGTTCCTGAAGAAGCTCCACGACGAGGAAGTCGCCGACCTCCTCAAGCAGATCGAGGAGTCTAAGGTGACGGTGGAGCTCGACTCCGACAGACCGGATCTGGCCGCTTACCTGCGCAGCATGCGCGCCGAGATCGAGGCGGTGGCCGCTCGCAACGTCCAGGAGGCCGAGAAGTGGTACAAGGGCAAATTCGACACTCTGAAGGAGCAGGCCAGTAAACACGAGGACCAGATGAAAGGCATGAAGGAGGAGATCACCAGCTTCCACAACCAGGTGACGGACCTGCAGAACCAGATCGACGGGCTGAGGGCGAGGAACGCGGCGCTGGAGCAGCAGCTGGAGGACATGGAGGAGGCACACCTGGACAAGACGGCCGGTCTGGAGGACATCATCGCCCAGCTAGAGAGCCAGCTGTGCGAGACCAAGCTGGAGATGGGAAAATACTTGGCCGAGTACCAGCAACTGCTCCACATCAAGCTGAAGCTGGACGCTGAGATCGCCACCTACAGGAAGCTGCTGGAAGGAGAGGAGAAGCGGCTCGGGATCTCCGTCGCCGAAGGTTTGTCTGGAGCAGCAGGTAAATCAGTAGCTGATCAGTTGGCTGGAATACACTACATGACTTTCTGAAAACAATTGAGCATCATACACTAAGTCAGTGGTTCCCAACCCTGGTCCTGGAGGTACCCCAACACTGCACATTTTGCATGCCTCCTTTCTCTAGACACACCAATTTGAGGTCTTGGAGTCTCTACTAATGAGCTGAGGATCTGAATCAGGTGTGTTTGGTTAAGGAGACATGCAAAACATGCAGTGTTGTGGTGCCTCCAGGACCAGGATTGGGAACCATTGCACTAAGCAACTGAGAATCACACTACCAGACTTTCATAACAAATGGTACGTTCGGAAAGATAGTACTTACGAGTTCAACGTACATGAATTTCACCACAAAGTCATAATTCAGAGTGGGAAACTTAACTTTCTGTAAGCCCAGAGTTTCCAAGTTGTGGGCGTGTCAGTGAGAAAATAGGGCGGATGCAATGGATGCAGTATTAAGGGTACATTTGCTGGAATAAAATAAAATAGAAATTCCCATTTACAATAAAAGTAGCTAAGTTGCATGCACAAAATATGACAAGATATGTTTCTCAACTGAATAAAAGCATAAAGCAAAAACACATGTAATTCGCAGTGTTTAATCATCATTTTGTAGATGCGGAGTGAAAAAAAATGCTAATTATTGGTTTTTGTAGAAAAGGTACATTTGATGTTGCGATTTGAACTGATCTGATGTCGTAATTACGACTTCCCAAGTTGCAAATACAAAATTCCCAGGACTTGAGCGCGCCAAACCTCGTGCAGAAATGAACCTCGTTGCTAGGAGACACACGACAAATGGAAACAGTGTGTTCTAAAATCGGTTCAAAATATCAAACATCTTTGATCTCCACCGACTGGATGCAATCAAAGTCTGAAGCTAAAATATCACGATTTTCTGAAATCTGAGAACTCAAATTCGCAGACCGACCGTTTTTTCCAACTAACGTTGACTCGTCAGTGTCAGTGTCTGAAGTCATGTAGAGCATCCCAGCCTTAGTAAATGATTAGTTTTGCTTAAATCTGATGTGTGTTATGTCTTGTTTTCCTAAGCAGTGACAGAAGAGAGAACCACGTCTGTGTCTCGTACTGTAGAGACACACACAGCTATCGCCTGAAGATCAACCTCGACTAAACCATGTCCTGCTAAACTAGCTGAGTTCACTGGGCCTTCTGAGAATCGCAATGAATAAAACGGTCTCAAAATGTTCCCAGGCACTAAATAAAGCTTGATTTCAATGCACACTTGTCTCTGCTGTATATCTTCTTATAAAGCAAAAGTAGCTAAGTTGCATGCACAAAATATGACAAGATATGTTTCTCAACTGAATAAAAGCATAAAGCAAAAACACATGTAATTCGCAGTGTTTAATCATCATTTTGTAGATGCGGAGTGAAAAAAAATGCTAATTATTGGTTTTTGTAGAAAAGGTACATTTGATGTTGCGATTTGAACTGATCTGATGTCGTAATTACGACTTCCCAAGTTGCAAATACAAAATTCCCAGGACTTGAGCGCGCCAAACCTCGTGCAGAAATGAACCTCGTTGCTAGGAGACACACGACAAATGGAAACAGTGTGTTCTAAAATCGGTTCAAAATATCAAACATCTTTGATCTCCACCGACTGGATGCAACCAAAGTCTGAAGCTAAAAGATCACGATTTTCTGAAATCTGAGAACTCAAATTCGCAGACCGACCGTTTTTTCCAACTAACGTTGACTCGTCAGTGTCAGTGTCTGAAGTCATGTAGAGCATCCCAGCCTTAGTAAATGATTAGTTTTGCTTAAATCTGATGTGTGTTATGTCTTGTTTTCCTAAGCAGTGACAGAAGAGAGAACCACGTCTGTGTCTCGTACTGTAGAGACACACACAGCTATCGCCTGAAGATCAACCTCGACTAAACCATGTCCTGCTAAACTAGCTTTCACTGGGCCATTCTGAGAATCGCAATGAATAAAACGGTCTCAAAATGTTCCCAGGCACTAAATAAAGCTTGATTTCAATGCACACTTGTCTCTGCTGTATATCTTCTTATAAAGCCTCAGTTATTCTGAACTGCTGTCTATGGGCTGAAAGATGGACAAACTAATACTTTATTCCTGGAGTTTCTGCATTAGTTGGTTCCTTACCATTATTCAGTTGGATGAGAACAGAAATGAGCTGAATAATAATACTATTGTGTTCTGTAGAGCTGATTTACAGCTGAAATTATTTCATAATTGATGAAAAGTGACTGTTATTAAACTATTCAATCAAAATTGAATTGATTTCTTTTTCAGTTTTTGTTGTTGTTGTCATCTTCCAGTACAGGTATCTAAACTTTTATAAATCAAGATACTTGAAAAGCAGAATGAGGAGATATTGAGTCTAGTTTTCTGAAAAATTTATCAAAAATAAGTGGGATTAAGCTTTAAACAGTGAGGTCAGAAACACATTCTGAGCCCATTAGCAGATACTTGTTTTAAGCATAAACTCACTTCATTTTGATACTGTTTCAAGAAAACAAGACGTAATATCTCATGTCATTTTGATTTTATCTTGATTAAAGAATGTTTTGACATCTGTGACCCTGCAGCACAAAAGCAGTGTTAAGTCGCTGGGGTATATTTGTAGCAATAGCCAACAATACATTGTATGGGTCAAAATTATACATTTTTCTTTTATGCCAAAAATCATTAGGATATTAAGTAAAGATCATGTTCCATGAAGATATTTTGTAAACTTCCTACCATAAATATATCAAAACTTAATTTTTGATTAGTAATATGCATTGCTAAGAACTTCATTTGAACAACTTTAAAGATGATTTTCTCAATATTTAGATTTTTTTGCACCCTCAGATTCCAGATTTTCAAATATTGTCCTATCCTAACAAACCATACATCAATGGAAAGATTATTTATTCAGATGTATAAATCTTAATTTCACAAAACTGACACTGGTTTTATGGTCCAGGATCACATTTGTACAAAAATACGAAATAAGAAAATCATTTTTTGCAGTGAAACACTGGATTATATCACATGAAGAAAGAGTCTCACTGCACAGCATCCTTTTATTTCTCTTGATTTGTCAGATAAAAAACCCTATCATGAGAATAAGTTTTCCAGAGTACTAAAGCAGTTCATGACAGAAAGAATGGCTTCGAACGCTTCTTCACTTCCTGTTCTTCCTCTTGAGGGCCTTCCACTCTCCCTCCTGAGTGGCCAGACTTCCATACAGCTCCTTCACCTTCCTCTTCCTCTCCGCATCCCTGACACACAAACACAACACGATCAGAGCCTGAGGATGAAGCACGGTCACATGACGCTCCTCCACACACACTGACCTGCTCATGACGTCACTGAGCTTCTCCCGAGCCAGGAAGCGTGTGTCCTTCCGGATCTCCCTCAGCGCTCCCTTAAACTCACGCTTGTATTTGTGTTTGAGCCGCTCGTGCTCCTTCTCCTCCTTCGTGTTCCCTCGTTTTTTACCGTAATCCAGACTGCAGGAGAAACCAGAATTAAACCGAATCTGCCAGAATGAAAAGAGTTTCCGCTCTTATTCTAGTTCATGTTTCACTCACATCTGCACTATTTTCGGTGTGAAGAGCTTCAGCGGGATGGGTTTCTTCTTCTTGAACACCAGAGGTGCATGCTGGGAAGGCTGCTCAGGAATGGCCTCTAAGATCTCGCTGTGAAGATCCTGCACGAAAGCACATCAGAATGAATCAAACGAGCCGATGAGAGTGAATGTGACGTGTGCTGTAGATGCTGAACCTGGATAGGGGCGGGGTAACTCTCGACAGGAAGATGCTGGAGAAGCAGCGTTCTGATTGGCTGGAAGATGTGAGCGAATGACGGCAGGTCTTTATAGAGCGACGTGCATCTCTTCACCAGATCCAGACAGGAATCAATGACCGACAGCCTGAAACACACAAACACAGCAGATGCAGGAGAGAAACGAACGGTTCGGGCGGATTAATAACTTTATATATAATGCATTACATCAGTATTTTAATGTGTTAATTATGCCTTGTAATAAATGCACTGTATGATCTCATGAATAACTGTGTATTGCAATATAAGTGTAATGCATTAAAACACAACAAACAATCAATTTCAGATGTAACAAGGAATCTGGAAATATTATAATGCATTTTAACTTTGGTTAGAATTTATGAAAATATAATGCATTACAACATACATTATGATTACCTTTATAATGCATTATAAAGGCTTTGCGTAGCTTTAAGTGTTGCTAAATATTTCATACACAAATGTGATTTAAAGTGTTTTACATAAAAATTATAAAAAATAGTCATAAAAGGTGCATCAGAAATAAAAATGGATTTAAAATGTATAAAAAGAAGAAACAAAAGAAATACACTGAAACAGTGCAATCAGTAACTGGTGTACGCAAGTGTGTGTGTGTGTGTGTGTGTGTGAGAGAGTGTGTGCGTGTGTGTGTGAGAGAGAGAGAGAGAGAGAGAGAGAGTGTGTGTGTGTGTGAGAGAGAGTGTGTGTGAGAGAGAGTGTGTGTGAGAGAGAGTGTGTGTGAGAGAGAGTGTGTGTGAGAGAGAGTGTGTGTGAGAGAGAGTGTGTGTGAGAGAGAGTGTGTGTGAGAGAGAGTGTGTGTGAGAGAGAGTGTGTGTGAGAGAGAGTGTGTGTGAGAGAGAGTGTGTGTGAGAGAGAGTGTGTGTGAGAGAGAGTGTGTGTGAGAGAGAGTGTGTGTGAGAGAGAGTGTGTGTGAGAGAGAGTGTGTGTGAGAGAGAGTGTGTGTGAGAGAGAGTGTGTGTGAGAGAGAGTGTGTGTGAGAGAGAGTGTGTGTGAGAGAGAGTGTGTGTGAGAGAGAGTGTGTGTGAGAGAGAGTGTGTGTGAGAGAGAGTGTGTGTGAGAGAGAGTGTGTGTGAGAGAGAGTGTGTGTGAGAGAGAGTGTGTGTGAGAGAGAGTGTGTGTGAGAGAGAGTGTGTGTGAGAGAGAGTGTGTGTGAGAGAGAGTGTGTGTGAGAGAGAGTGTGTGTGAGAGAGAGTGTGTGTGTGTGTGTGAGAGAGAGTGTGTGCGTGAGAGAGTGTGTGCGTGTGTGTGCGCGTGAGAGAGAGAGAGAGAGAGAG